GGTGGGGAGCGGCGGCGGCCGGGAAGGATGCATCAGAAGCTGCTGAAGAGCGCGCATTACATCGAGCTGGGCAGCTACCAGTACTGGCCGGTCCTGGTGCCCCGCGGCATCCGTCTCTACACCTACGAGCAGATACCCGTGTCCCTGAAGGACAACCCGTACATCACCGATGGCTATCGGGCCTACCTGCCCTCCAGGCTGTGTATCAAAAGGTACAGACTGACCTCCGCGGGCGCGTCTGGGGGGCCGCGCCGGCGGCCCCTCCTCACCTACCCCCTTTTTGTCTGGTCTCTAGGCTTCTCTTTCGGTGCCCGTAATTTCCTAGCTGCCCCATCCGTTTCATCTCCCTCTGCCGCCTCTCCTCTTATTATCTCTCCTACCCTGCCGAGGTACTTGATCCTCGGACTAATAATGATAATAATAGTGATCGTAATTACCAACTCTCGCAGGGCGCTTTACTGTTTCAGAGCGCTTTACCTTTATTCCTTTTGCTGCTAATCGTAATAACGTGTGGGGTCGATCCCATTGACAATGGCCGAGCCATACTTGCCCCTGTGTATAGCTAAGCTTTGTTTCCTTTTAGTTCAGCTTTGTGGAAAACCAAGTGCTTTGAGCAAAATACTTGTCTATATTGATAGGACACAAGTTAACATTTTCATTACATATCTATTGTAGATATGTATATGTATATATGCATATTTATATTTCTCCATCCACTCCTGTATCATTTATTCAGCAGATGCTATGGATCTCCTCCTCAGTGCAAGGCAGTACACCAGGTGATGCAAAAAACAGCAAATATGACCCTTGTTCTCATGAAACAAATAAGATCTTCCCCGGTTGACACACATAAAGAAACAATTGCACGATTACACAACAATCATTGTAGAAAATGCTGTGTAGGAAAATCACTGTAGTAAAGAGAACCTATAATGGGCACACACACTCTCCACTAAAATACCATAGAAGCATCTCTAAGAGTCCCTGCGAGTCTGGTTTTAAAAAAAAACAGAACTGAAAAATTTGTGTTCTGGTTCGTAGAATAAATTTTTGTTACGACTCATTACATTAAAAATCCCACTGTGGGAAAATTAAGATCCAGATGTTGCTTAGCTCCAGGTTACCATAGTGGCACACCCTAATGTTGGAATGTGGGTTTTTGCATTGAAGTAACCACATTTCTAATTCTTAATGATCTTCAGTATAGTCTTCCCCCAGTTCCACTTACCCTGCCTTGAAGGCCCCTCTGTGACTCACAGTCACAAGGTGGCATCACTGTCCATCCCTACTTGACTTCAGTGGATGACCCACAGGACTTAACAATTTGAATCCTAATTGCTGTTTTCCTCCCCAATGACACCTCTGCCGAAGTCATTACACAAGATTCAGAGCTGGGCACTGCTGTGGATGTGGAATTCACAAGGATAAAGCAGACAGTGCCTTTAATGTTTTAACCCACCTAATGTGGTCTTCTGCCTTCTAATGTTTGGGTCCATATATTGTGGAATAAAAAATGAAGTACAGTGCTCCAGATTTTGGGCCTTTGAGTGGAGACTTAAAGACTTGAGTATTCAGATTTGCCATTCAACAGCTTTGGAACTTTCAAGTTAACTTCTCTGAGCCTTATTTTCTCATTTGTAAAAAATGAGAGTAATCACAATAACTTCTTGAAAAAGTAATAATGATTAAAACAGACTTTGAAGCCTGAGTATGGCCTAGTTTCTGATAAGCATTAAATCCTTTACTGGGGATAGTCTAAGTGTTCTTTCTACCAGCTTGATCTTTCCCATTTTCAGCTTTTGTGCTCTATCTTTAAGACTGTCAAACTAAACAAGACTAATTTTGTATAAAAGGAAGGGTTTTATATGCCGTAGCTATTCTACCAATACAGTGTCAGTTGGAAGTAACCTCAAGGTTATGCATCTCTGTTAAATTAATCAGATTATACTAGGTTTCCCAAAAGGAAAAGTTTCAGGGCAGTAGGCAGAGCATAGAATTGTCAACTCTTATAATTGATGTTTTCCCTCATATTTCTGCATCATCATCAACCTCTCTCCCTCGGTAAGTAGTTTTTATATTTGATGCTTGCACAGGATAAAGCCTAAAGGTCACAATGTAAGATTTACTTTATTCAAAATGAACCATATGATAGTGTGACCTGCTATGTTTATCATATGGGAAAGTGAGAACCACAATGACTAACAGATTCAGTAGTTTAGAGTTACACAGCAATGCTTACCAGTAAAGATTTTGAATCAATGAAGGTCAAATGTCAGAATACTTATACAAAAATAATTTACAAGAGAACTTTAATCATTAGTCATGATGTCACTTAACGTTTTGTTAAGTAATCAGATGAGTCCTATCTGTAGCTGAGAACCACTTCACAAAATTAACAAGAGAATTGGAGTATCTAATCCTGCCTTCTTGTTCTATAGATGAAGAAATGGAAGCAAGAGAGGATAAGTGACTTCCTGCTGATCACAGAGCTAGTTTGGGGCTGAGTGTGGGGAGGGGACCATGAGTTTTAATTCATACTCAGGTTGTACCAACCTGTGCTGCCAGGACAATTAAGTTCCTACCAATTATTCAGGGCATTTTGAAAAAGATAAAATAAAACTGATGTTAAAAGTAGTCTTTCACTGTTCCTAAAAATAATAAACTCATGCCACTGAGAAATTAGTTTTGGTTTCAGAACAACCAAAGGAAAATAATTCCAGCATGCTTATCTTAAAGGATCCAAAGGATCAATTTATATTTTTATTTCTTTTAAGATAACTTAACTTCACATGAACATCAGAAGGTGTTAGCCACACTCAATTTTAATCTGCACTCATTTCTGTAGACACTTAACAGCTAAACCGAGCAAAGCACTGTGTTTGGAATGGTGCTGATATATAAGATGAGTGGTTATAGCAATTAGAAAGTCATTAGGCTGAAGGATGAAGTGGAATTAGAAATAAATGATCTGAGGAAGAAAATGGAAGTATGAAAATAGAGGTGAAAACTAGAAAAGCTCTTATCTCAGGATGCATGGAGAAGTGAAAAAACTTAAAGATTAATTGAACTAAATGATATATTAAATTTAGAAAGGCAAAAATGGGCTTAAGTGCTTAAAGTAGCAAATGTTACGTAACACTGCCCCCCATCCCGAATTTATCTACCCTTTGAATTCTGACAGTGAGCTAGCATATATATGAGTTGTATTCTGTTTATCTTCTAGCTTGTTTATTTTGTCTAATGAGACGGTGAACATCTGGAGTCATTTGCTGGGTTTCTTTCTCTTCTTCACCCTGGGAATATATGACATGACATCTGTATTACCTTCGGCAAGTGCATCCAGAGAAGATTTTGTAATTTGTTCTATTTGTCTTTTCTGTTTCCAGGTAAGTCATTTCACAACACTCATATTGGTTAAGAAAACTTGACTCAGGCCATTGTGGGCAGATGACTTGATTTCACACCTACTGCTTGCTTTAAAGAGCCCCCAAATAGCAAGCGTATTAGCTTATTTGCTTTCATAATATAAGCATCAAAAGTATGTTTTGAAAGTATATATAGATGCTATTATTTAGGAATATTGGAAAACCAACAAGTTCTAAAGATTGAGAAAATTTCTTTCCTTTTCTCTTTCCAAGACATCCCTGCTTTAAGATTAATACAAAAATAGGTATCGCTGATTATTCTCTGTTATTTGGCTAAAGTAGTATAATAATGCCTGCTTAAAAGTTATTTGGAAAGCTTTTTCATTGTTTTCATACTTATATGTCTGTGATTTCTGTATTATCATTTCCATACCATCTTAATTTTAAAAATCTTGTTTTGCTAGTAACAATCTTTTCTCTTGCTTTAGTGTTAATCTCCCTGTCCTTTTACACTTGCCTATTTCAAATACTGTCTTCTCTCTACTTCTTGTGTTTATTAGTTCTACTGCCTTTTCATTTTCTTCAAGGGTCTGTAAAAATGTAAAAATGGGTCTTTAATAGTTACATTTAAGAGTTTTTAGTAGATAATTCCAAAGAAGAAAATACGTGTGGGTCATACTCCTGTTGATATTTTAAACTTAAGGGGAAAAAAATGCAGAGATTACATAAAAACAGAAAGAAGAAACTTACTAGGAACATTTCCTTTCTCCTTGTTTTGGAACCGTATTTTCAGTTTCGTTAAGGGAAGAAATAAAGTATACTTTCTCAATCTCCCGTTTTGTACTGATTAAAACCTAAATATTAATTAGACTACATCTCTAACTTTTAAACGGTAATCAATTTTTAAGATTTTTAGATGTATCTTATCTTAGGTTAAGGTACTCTTAGTAACCACTACTAAGCAAAAACGGATTTGTACTCTGTTAGTTTTATGAGTATTATTTATATGTGAGAATCCCACTACCCCAATGCTCACCTTTACCTCTCAGCACCCATCTACAGCTGGTGTCAGTCCAGGGAATTTATATTAACTTCATATTGGCCTAAGAAAATAATGAACATGTTGCATAACCAAAAGGCTGAAATATAACAGCCAATGAAGAAACACTGAAAGTACACTAGCGACATCCCCAAGATTATTCAGCAGGACAGTAATTGCTAGTGTAATGATCTTTCTGTTGATGTACAGAACAACTTGCTGAACTTACTTAATATACCATTGTTATTACTTAAATGATGCTTTACTTAAATATACCATTTATTTTTATTTTCATGAAATTTTATTTTTAACTTGTTCATACAATTTTTGCAAATCTTAGACTCAGCAGCATGTAAAAGCAAATATATTTTACTAACATTGCTTTCCATTTTTTTAAACTAGATAGCTTTTTCCTCATTTCTCCCTTTTTTTATACTCTGCAGTCCATCCCAACCAGATTGTTAGAAAATATTCTAAAAACATTACATTCTAAATGTAATTTCAGGGGTTTTAAACTTCCCCATAAGTTTTTCTATCTTAGAGAACACTAAAACCTTAACCCAGCCCTCCCTGGTGGCGCAGCGGGTTAAAGCACTGCACTGAGAAACTAAAGCCACTTCCGCATGAGTTCGATCCCCGCCTGCCCCAGAGGTGACCACATGGCGTGGCAGACCTCTCCTGACCCGCCCGCTGCTCCCCTCAGCAGTGTACTTCATCGATCGGCCTGTTCTGCTTCCCGCTCTGTCTCTGGTGAATCCTCTCACCCTCCGCATCTCTTGCCTGTACCCCAGTTCTGTATTCAATTCATTTACATTTATATCAACAAATTACTTTTGAATGCCTCCCATCTACAATTAGGTGCTAAGCTAGGCATCTAGAAGACAGTGCTAAACAAACCAATCTGTCATTGAGATCAAACCCCCCAGGTAGGAGAGTAAAAGAGGAAATGTGACAGTGCATTTAGGTAGAACACATAATTGGTGTTAAGGCCCAGAAGTAAGAGACAGTTAATCACTTCCCAGACTTACCCGACTTGTAGTTGAGTCCTAGGAGATGGAAAGATGAGACTGAAGAGATAGGCAGGAGCCAGAGCCTGCAGTGCTTTGTTAGCATGCCAGCAACTCAGATATAGGATGGCATGCTATAATTATCTCTTTTCCATGATGGAGGGAGGTATTCCCAGAGGAAACTTTCCCCAAAACTGAAACATACTCATTTTCCCAGGTACTTTTATCAATCATTTTTTTGAGGGATTCTTAAAAACAACACATCTTTTTAAAAATATAACATTAAGTTCACTTTCTTAAAAGTCAGAGTTCTCTATTAACACTATGTATTTTATTTCATTTCATATTGTAATTTATCTCTTTAGTCTTTTATGTTGTATTTCACAGTGAAATTAGTTTTATTGTTTCATCTTAGTATTATAAGGCATACGGATGTAGAAATTCAAGCAAACAAAAAAGCACATGGAAGAAAGTAATAGCCACTTGAAATTCCTCTTCTCAGAGGTAATCATATATGATGTTTGGGTTAAAATTCCTCCTGACATTTGTGTATGTGTAGATACAGATCTATCGAAAGAGAGAAGAGAGATGTCTTAAACCTGCCTGCTTGTCTACCTGCTTCTGAGCTGTGAAAATCTCCACTTGCTATTTGTAGCACTTAGCATTACAATGAGCTGTCATTGAGAAAATGTATAACTTGATGTAAACTGAATTTGCTGTTTTTATTCTTAATTTTAAGAATAATTTGAGGGAAATAATCAAACTTCTTAAGAGTTACATTTAGTTGAGTCAGTAAACTCTCTAACTTGTAGCTTAGTCAAAGCTATAGAATACTAAGGGTTGTAAACAGTGAATGAAGAAATGAGGTTGTGACTCAGTACATTATTTTAAAGATTGGTGTTGAGGTAATGAGCTCTGATTACATTTGTTTAATGACCAGGTTATAACAGGTGACTATTTTGCTTACAAAATGTTTAGCAATTTGACCTACCTGCTTCACATCATTTATCTGATCGATTTTCTCCACCCTCACTGTCACTGTCTTCATAGAGTTCTTGTCATTGCTCCCCAAAGCTACTTCCCTAGCCTCCTGCCTCAGTCTCACAGTAAAGTTACACTTAAAATCTTCATAAGTATAACGCTTAGCCCATACATTGAAGTTAAAAATTTTTTTTGTTATGGGCCCTCCCTGGTGCCACAGCGGGTTAAAGCACAGCACTGAGAAGCTAAAGCCAATTCAGCATGAGTTCAATTCCCACCCTAGAGGTGACCCACATGGTGCAGCGAACCTCTCCTGACCCACCCACTGCTCTCTTCAGCAGTGCACTTCGTCAGTCTCCCTGTTCTGCTCTCTACTCTGTCTCTGGTGAATCCTCTCATTGCCCCCACCAACTCTGGCCTACACCCCAGCTCTATATACATAAATAAATAAATCTTTAAAAAAAATTTCTTGATATACTGGACCTGTCATAATCACTTCATGATGACCACATGACATTCTAGTGGCTCTGTGTTTTTAGTGACTGTTTTTCACTATGCTGCTTTTCCTGTGGACCCCACCACTAAACATGTGCACAGTTTTATTTGTACCCTTGATAAAAGCCAGGTCAATCTTTTAAAGTCCAGCCCAGGTGATAACCCTCAAGCTCTTTTCCTTCTCCCCCTCAAATGTGCACATAGTCCCACAGAGCCGGTACTGTTTGCTGGCTGTGCTCTGCTCAGACTTCTCTGGTAGTACAACTTCCATCACTCTTTGTTAACTTATTTCACAAAAATCTCTTTGAGAGTAGAGATTTCATCATTGTATCTCCAGGACATGACACATGGCATATTTTTAATGGTTGAAAGGAACAGTCATAGAACCCTTATCAATCATCAGAGCAGCTGACTAAGTCATTTTAGCTTTGCTCTCAATTTGACAACCATGTAAAAGTCAGTATAGGTTATAATTATTATTCTTAGACTCAATAAAGCTAGTTTGACTCATAACTTAAAAGTAAACACTACAATGAAATCTCATATAGACATGAAAGTATTAAGTGAAAAGGCAAATTACAGAAGTGTCAAATGTGTCCATTTGATTAATTTTAGAAGTATATATGCTTGTATACGTGTGTGTGTATAGACTTCTGTGTCATAGGTGTTTGATACAGTCATTGAAAATAAATGGGAGGAGGTACCCAGAGGGTACCTTGTTTTTTTTTTTTAACATCCTACAATGTTTTTTTTTACTTTTTTAAGGGCTTGTATTATATCTATAGTAAATATTTTTATTTTTTTTTAAGGTTTATTTATTTATACTTACAGAACTGGGGTACAAGCCAGAGGTGTGGTGGGTGAGAGGATTCACCAGAGACAGAATGGGGAGCAGAACAGGCAGATATACTGAAATACACTGCTGAGGGGAGCAGCAGGTGGGTCAGGAGAGGTCTGCTCTGCCATGTGGGTCAACCCCCTGGCTGGGGATCAAACTCGTGCTGCAGTGGCTTTGGAGAGCTTCGTAATGAGATGCTTTAACCTGTTGAGCCACTAGGGAGAGTCCAGTAAATACTTTTTAAAAAGGAAACTCAGTTATGGATCACAACAAGCCTCAAGTGATATTTTTAAAACATTTCTATTATGTACATTTCTACTGTGCTATTTAAATTTTTTATATTATAAAATAACTGTTTAATTTTTTATGATCATTTCCATTTCTTTTCTTTCTTTCTTTCTTTCTTTCTTTCTTTCTTTCTTTCTTTCTTTCTTTCTTTCTTTCTTTCTTTCTTTCTTTCTTTTTTTCATGAGGAAACAGGTCCAGAGAAAAGAGGTGGCTTGTCCAACCTTTAAGATAAAGTACCTAAAAAGAAAAAAAAAAAAGATAACAGAGCTAGAACCTAAGTCCAGGTCTATTTCCCTGAACATCTTGCAAATGAGTTACTTTAATTTCTTTTTATTACACTTTTCTAAGATTTGTTTTGTTTTCCCTAGGTCTGTATGCTTTGCTCCGTGGGCTATCATCTCTTTTCCTGCCATCGATCAGAAAAAACCTGCAGAAGATGGATGGCATTAGATTATGCCGGAATTTCTATTGGAATACTGGGCTGCTATGTCTCTGGAGTATTTTATGCATTTTATTGCAATAATGTAAGCAACTTAAAACATTTTACATTCTTCCTTCCTTTGGGGGTTTTCTTGCCATGGTTCTGTAATCAGCCTATAAAAGAAACAGAAGAGTATTGTATAGACATAAACTCATTTTTCAAAAGGACCCAGTGATTTCTAACATCTATTATCAGTTCTATACTCGTTTTACTAATTTACCACTAAAAATATATTATTACAAAAAATATATTTCCTGAGCCATTATCTTAAATATCAAGTTGGTAACATTTCTACTAAATCCACAGTCACATGGTTCTATAGTACACATTAGTCTTTGATTGCAAAATTAAAGTTCATAATTGCGGAAATGATGAAGCTGGTTGCTGCTTTTCATTTTTCCTTTTTATCCTTTACTCATGCCTTAGTGGAAAAAAATACAGGAAGATATATCTGTGAGTGAGTTAATTCATTATTTTTTTTTTTTAAAGATTTATTTATTTGTGCATACAGAACTGGGGTGCAGGCCAGGGGCTCAGGGGCGGTGAAAGGCTTCACCAGAGACAGAGTGGGGAACAGAACAGGCATATTGACGAAGTACACTGCTGAGGGGAGCAGCGGTCGGGTCAGGAGAGGTCTGCCACGCCATGTGGTCACCTCCGGGGCAGGCGGGAATCGAACCCATGCGGAAGCGGCTTTAAATTCTCAGTGCTGTGCTTTAACCCGCTGCGCCACCAGGGAGGGCCTAATTCATTATTTTTTAAGAGATAATGTTTTTCCTTACTTTTATATTTCGGATTAGGCCTAGAGACCGATCACATGGGAAATCTGTGTCTTTACAAATATGTGTCTTTTCTGAGTTCTGCACCAACTCTGCTTTCTGATCCTAAGGTCACCAAAAGTCATTTTTTGTCTTGTTCAAAACAGCATTCGAAACACTGACCAGTTATACAACCCTGCCCTAAAAATGGTGGTGAACCAGATATTACTTCCATGATCTCAAAACATCTCAAACATTCCCATTCAAAAAACCCCATTGTCCCTACTGTGTCTTTTCCTCCCGCTCCTCTACCATACACCTTTTCTTTTCTTTCTTCCTTTTAGTTCTCTCAGAGCCAAGACTGAGTTTTTCTCTCAGGGGTATTATATCCTCAAGTTACTGCGAGTCCTATTCACAAGTAGCAAGTGCTTCAAGCCATAGTTCCCAGTGTTCGCTTATTAGGAAGACTGCTACTGGGCAGGATTCCTTTGTTGGAAATTTTTAACCAGGACATTTGTCTCTACATAGTAGGAGAAAACTGTCAACATAGCTCAAGTGTAAAACTAGCAAAGGGAAAAATCATAAATTTGGCTTGAATGTGTCAGAGTATTAATAAATATAGTCACTTAAACATGAGCCATTTGTTTTTTAGGCTTAACTACTGTGGAACATAAGCATCTAATATATATGAAATTAATCTTGCGATAAATTGATTTATTTTAGCAGTAAACTCTGTTCATGTCTGCTCAGATTTCACAACTTGTTCATTTGTGTGAAACTGTTGGTATCTTTAAAAAAAAACTAAGAAGGGAGCCTCCCTGGTGGCACAAGGGGTCAAGTCTCAGTACTGTGGAGCTATTGGCAGCCACTGCAGCATGAATTTGATCCCCAGCCAGAGAGCTGACCCTCTGGTGCAGCAGACCTCTCCTGTCTCCCTGCTGCTCCCCTCAGCAGTGTATTTCAGTACATCTGCCTGTTCTGCTCCCCACTCTGTCTCTGGTGAATCCTGTCAATCCCTCTCCCCTTCCTCCTCCTGTACACCTCTAGCCTGTACCCCAGTCCTATGTAAAAAGAATAATCTTAAAAAAAAAAAGTGCTTAGAAAGGAGTATGCTGATAACTAGTAGCTTATGACAACAGTAATACAATATTTGAATTGTTCTGTTTATCTGACTCTATACTTCTGTGAAACCTGTTTTTTTACCTTTCCTAAACATATCTGATCATTAAAGAGACCAATTTTTGTAGATCTGTTTTCAGAAAAACTAGAAGTCCTAGATAGATGGAAAAGTAATAAACAATTCGAATAATATTTTTAAAGGAAAAATACAGACCCTATGGTGTCTGATCACTGCCAAATATTAAATTGCTGTGGTGGCTCTTTACCTTTTAAAACAAGACAAGCTGCTTTAAAAATGAGGTTAAAAACATTTGGACTCACAGCTAACCCAATAGTTTGACATGTGATTGCATGAGAATCTCATAGTTCACAGAAGCCCTATTGTAACTAACGTCTTTCAAACTGTAAACACTTGAGCCGTCCTCTAATACATCCAAGTCAGTCATTGAGACAAATTTCAAAAGCACTCCTGAATCTCATATTCATGTCTGTCTTACAAGAGTTGCATTCCAAGCCTGCATTCTTTTTGAATCAATTATCCTAGTATCTTCTGGTTGACTCTCTGTCACCTCTATCTTTTGTACACAGATCGAGTTTTTCTAATCAATCAGTTTAAAAACTAATCATGTCATCTTGTTCAGAAAGTAGTCAGCAGTCCCCCCATTATCAGCCTAGCAAAGTTTAGATACTTAGCCAGGAAACCTGCCTTTTGAAAATGCCCCTGTTCCATATGCTGATCTTTTTCTCTGAGAGCCCCTCCTTTTCCCACAAAATCTTACATATTCCTCAAGACCCAGCTTAGATGTCATCTCTGAAGCACTTTTTAATCTCTCCCCCCCCCCCCAGGTGACATTAATTGCTCCCTCTTCCTTGGTTCTACAACATTCTATTCATAACTCAATTACAGTACTTATTACCAGATTATAATCATGTGTTTACATGTCTGGCCCTCCCGTAGTCTGAGCTCACCCAGTAGGAGTCCATATCAGAGGCATCTTTGTTCCTACAGGAATTAAACTCTGCCTGGCATCGAACAGGTACTCTTAGTTAAAACAAACAAATGTGGTCTTTTGCCAAGTCACTTTGGAATTTAGTTTGTCATATAAAAGGTACATAGAACATGCTTTTTTTTTCTTTTAAGGTAGACAAATAAGCATGTTTGGAAATAAAAAATAGCAAGTAGAGTTTGGGATGTAGCAGCCAAAATTACTTTTTCCTTCCATTATTAATAGCAACTAAAATTAATTTCCTTTCCACTGCAGTACTGGCGTCAAGTGTACTTGATCACAGTGCTGGCTATGATCCTGGCAGTGTTCTTCGCACAGATTCATCCCAATTACCTCACACAGCAGTGGCAGAGGCTCCGTTCTATCATCTTTTGTTCTGTTTCGGGTTATGGAGTGATTCCTACTGTTCACTGGGTTTGGCTCAATGGAGGAATAGGTGCTCCTATTGTACAGGTAGGTTATGTGTGCTCAGTATTTTCCCCTATTTTACTTTCAGTTTTGTTTTACTTTTTTTGTGGTATAATTGGGCCTAGTGAGTGTGTCTTTATCATTCAAAGGAATATAATTGTATATTGATGCCATAATGTATATAGTGATATAAATAAGCATACCTAGCATGCATAGAAATAAAATCTGGTTTTTTCCCTGAGATGTCTTTTTTTGAAATAATATATCCCTAATTCTCTTCAGTTACCTTTAGTGTGTAAAATACCCAAGTCCTTTTCTATCTAGGATTCCCACATTTCCAGTTTTGTCAGCTTGGGCAGGGATAATCAGTGAAAACACAAGTATAGGAGCGGTTGAATTCTTTGTTTTATGGTGGGGAAAGATTTTTGTTGTTGTTTTCTTGGACATATTCACTTTGAGTACTTGTGGGATATAAAGATAAGAGATAGGATCTAGAATTGAGGTTAGAAATTCAAACTAGTGATATTTAAAAATTATGATGTTGGTGACTAGAGCAAATTAAAAGAAGAGCTGTCAGAGTTAGGTATTAGGAGCAAACAGTGTGGATGCATTAAGAAGAACCTCAGCAGGAACTCGTCAGAAGACGATTACAGTAAGACTTGCACTCTTAGACACATGAGTAAAATGTCTCAGTATGCACTAGAAAGTAAACTTGAGAATTTTTGACCTAAGTAAACATGTCAAAATCTAGCAGAAATTATATATACTTGTTGCAAAGGCCATTTAAGGAAATTTAAATTCACTTTTATATAAATGAATCTGATTTTGTTTTAGAAGAGGGGCGCTAGTAGTCAGCTTACAGCTTCTTGCATAAAGTTGGCAGTAGCATGTAGAAAGCATGCGGTATAACTAAAAGCAAGAATGTTCTGTGATATAGTGAGTTAAGTGATATCATCTGGTAATTTTGTCAATTTGAAGACAGGGGTGATGATTTCTTCGTAAAATTAAGAAATTTTGAGGAAGTGTAGTGAGGAGAAGCTCAATGATGCTGATATCTGTGAAAACACCATTTTTCTTACAATTTTGACTTCCTGAAAGTAGTAAAGAAAAAAAAATGGGCAATTGCAGCTAGATTTAATTCTAGCCAGCAAGGAATAGCTGGTAGTTAATAGGAGTGATGTAAATTTTGAGATGAAGTAAACACATCCATTTTAAGTTTATAGTAATGAAACGAGATCAGGGTCCATTAGGCTAGTGGATTTTAGAAAACTCAGAGAAAATGAGAACTTTTCCATATTTAGAAATCTTAAAATAGAAATATGACTTAGGAAGATATGTTTCTCAAAGGAGGAAATCTCATATGGTCACAGATCAGCCCAATGAATAAGTAAAGGGAGACTTCTGAGAAACTCCAATAAGCTTAAATTGTAAAAAGATGGACACAGGCATTTAAAGTTGAAAAGATAAAAAAGGTTCAGACGGGCAGCTTCCTGCCCACCTTTGACTATGCAGGTGCTTCTTTCTACACCTCTCCACCTCTGCAGGGCAGCAGCCTCCTGCCTGCCAGTGACCTGTACCCACCAGGTCTTCTCTGCAATGGCCTCCTCAGCAGAGGCCAATCTCCTAAGGCCACTTGCCTGCAACCATGCAGGCCTCTCTCAGCAAGCCTGTCCCTTTCTGGGCAGCTTTTCCTGTCCACTTGTGCCTATGCAAGTGTTTTACTCCTCTGCCCGTTTCCCTACTAAACCTGCTCTTTAAACATAAAAAAATTTTTAGAAGGGCTGATCCTGGAGTTTGGTTGTGTTCTAAAATATTCACCAAATGTGGGGTTGATTTGTCTAAGAACATAGGACTTAGGAAGGGCCATCCTAATTCTCAGACATTGTAGAAAGAGAAGTAATTTACCTTTATTTCTTAAATAGCTTCCTGGTAAATTAGGTTTTTAACTAGAATTAAGAACAATACATATATGTTACAACTGGCTGGTTTTCTCAGAACAAGTAAAAGCCTTCCAGTAGAATTGTGAGATGGACAGATTTATAGAGGCCTACTTATCTAGGATGATGGGATAGTTTTCTTGTTTGGTCAAACCTTAGGTGTCTTTTCCAGCCACAAGCCCCTAGTCTTTAGTCTCTGTTTATTCAACTGGTTCTCCATTCTCATGTGTTTCTCATGTACTTATATATGGAATTTGGTGCCCTTTAGACCAGCAGTAATGTTCTTTTTTAGAACCCTGACTTGAGGGCGCTCTCTCTATTTCACCCTTGTGGATTGCATCCTCTCCAAGATTAAGAACAAATTTCCAATTATTAGAGACTGTTCACAAAAGTAATTCATATTTAACAGACTCAAATTCCGACTATGATTTCCATCTAATCTATGAAATACATTCATTTATATGTCTTATAAATTGGGAGTTCAGTCACAATAGGAAGATCTATGAAAATGTTTACTTTTCAGGACTTTGCACCTCGAGTAGTTGTGATGTATGTGATTGCTCTTCTTGCTTTCTTATTCTACATTTCCAAAGTTCCAGAAAGGTACTTTCCAGGTATGTATCACTTTTATAATAATTTTGTTACTTTATTCTACAGACATAGTTGAGGTGTATCACCTGGGAGTGTCAAAACTTATTTTGACTGATTGACTCTTCTATTCTCAAATGTTGTCCAATATTTAAACATTCAAAAATATTTCACAAACTTTTCCTTTCATCCTCACAATCAGAGTTGAGCCTTGTAGGTGAGGTTACCATCTTTTCACAATCACGAACTAGTGACTAAGCTGAGTGAAACCTTGGGGTCTTCAAACTTCTGGCCACTGATTATGTTATTAGTTAGGAATACTATCAGTTATTATTTGCTTTTTTATATACCAGCTTATTCTTAAATATATATGTATATGCAGATCTCTATCAAATTAGAAAATAGAAAAAGAAACCTGACAAGCTAGTGAAAAAAAGCCAGTCTAGCCATCATAGATTCAACAGCCACCAATCTAGTATCCAGATGCCTGGCATGCAACAGTAAGGAGATGACAATATATGTTAAGTTTTTTCATTTCCCCAAGAGGTATACAAGTTAGTCACTCAAGAAAAGGACAGATTTCTGATAGAAAATAACTAAAAGGATAGTGGGTAGCATGAACAGTGTTCTCCAAAACATGTGCTTGTATAGGAACTTCAACTCCGTAGTCAAACTGCTTGGCTTCAAATCCCATGTGAGACACTTGTTAAGATACATGAAATAACATACTTGAGCTTTCTTAGCTCCAGTTTCCTCATCTGAAACATGGAGAAGTGTTTTTTCATGAGATTATTATAATTTGGTGAGAAAAATGCACATGAAACAGCACCATTGGACACTAGTAAGAACTCAGCAAAACTTAGCAATTATTACTATAATGATGCTCCACAAAGTTGATAATAGAAATGGAATGAAGTTTAGTAAGGGACAGAATGATGGCAATCCAGGGGAGCTTGGCTTGAGTCAAGTAAATAGGGCTGCAGTGAACATACCTATATCCGTTCAAATTACTGTTTTTGTGTTCTTCAAATAGATACGTAGGACTGGAATTGCTGAGTCATATAACAGATGCCTTTTAAATATTTTTGCAGAGATTCCATATTGCTTTCCATAAGGGGTTGGACCAGGCTACAGTCCCACCAACAGGGGGAAACAAGGGCTTCCCATTTTCTCACATCCTCTCTAACATCGGGTTTCTAGTATTTTTGCTACAATAGTATCTTATTGTGGCTTTGATTTGCATTTGATTAATGATAGGTAATGATGAGCATTTTTGCATGTACTTTTTGGCTTTGGAAAGGTGTCTGGTTAACTTTTCTGGCCATTTTTTGATTGGATTGTTAGCTTTTTGTTAAATTGCATGAGTTCTGTCACATGTATTATGTGCAAATGTTTTCTTCCAGTCAGTAGTATATATTTTAATTTATTGATGGTTTCTTTTGCTGCACAGAAACCTTAGTTTGATGTATATTTGTTTATATTTCCTTTTGCGCTTCTTGTCACTGGAGACAATCACCAAAGACAGTTCTGTCAACAATGCCATGATGTGTTTGCCTGTATTTTTCTTCAATGTATTTTATAGTTTCATGTCATATCAATGTATTTAATCCACTTTAGTTTATTATGTGTAAAGTGTGACATGGTGATCTTGCAGCTTAGTCTTTAACCACAAATAGAATTGTAATAACTTTCTTATATAGTATACAAACTGATTAACTAGTTCACTTATTACTAATGACATTTTGCAGATTATTTCTTACATCTAATAGCAAGAAATTCAGATCTGAGACTTCTCACATACCTGCTTGAAATACAAAGTACTTCTAGCAGACTTGAATCTAAGCACAACCATGTATTTTCTTCATATCTATATCTAAATTTCCCTTGCTTTTGTCATTAATGTCTTTTCATCTCATGAGATATTTATATTGAGGTATAGCAGACAAGTCAAACTCCTGAAAGCAGCAAAGTTAGACTTTGAAAACACAGTTGGAATAGTACGAAATTACCAAAATTCACCCATGGAACTTCGATTAAAATCTTTAAATTACATTCAATGTGAACTCAAATGTTTAAAAAAAAAAGGATCAGAATTAATACCCAGTAAGTCTCCATGTACTCTTCTTGAAACTGCCAAAATCTTTTTCCTGGTAAGCCATATTTCCAAGTCCAGATGTGGAAATACATTCTACTTTTAATGTCAAAATATTACAATTTTCTTTTCTTTCTACCTTCCTTTACAGGACAACTAAACTACCTCGGATCAAGCCACCAAATATGGCATATCCTTGCAGTAGTGATGCTATATTGGTGGCATCAGTCAACAGTGTATGTCATGCAGTACAGACATAGCAAGCCTTGTCCTGACTATGTTTCACATTTGTGAATTCAGGTATGGCCACCTGATGTATTCAGTTGTTAAGCAATATTTAAATGGGGAGTTGTATACCCCGCTATTTCTAAGATTCCCATTACGTTTCCCTTTTTCCTCGTTTAATATATCATGAGTAATACTTGATAAAAATGGAAAAATTTACTTGGGGATCTGTAACATTAACTGTTTTATGAGCCCTTAAATCTAATTTGTTGCTTGTACAGAAAGAGAAAATGAGTTGGCACTCATAAAAATAAAATCTGAGTATCAGCAATGAATGTGAAACCACTGTAGAAATAGGATTTACTTTACTTAACACCAGCTTAATTTCCTTAGGAAGGGCTCACCTCCATTATAAAATAGAGGCTTCCCATGTGGTTACTCTAGAAGATATTTATAGTAGATGATCAAGTTTAAGTGCCTAATCAAGGCAAGGGTTGCTGCAGCCTATGCTTAATAAAAGCTAGGATAGTGATTTTGAATAATCATGAACCTTTTAAATACATTGTCAGAAACTGGCATTTAAGATATTACTTCCTTTAGCTGTTTTTATTAGCTGTAAGTTCTCTTTTCCCTAGGAACACTGGATTTTTATGTTTGCTAAACACAAACTTTAAACCTCTTCTTTGAGAGGCACTAAGAAGAGGAAAAAACTTCCCACCCATCAGGTGACAATTATTAGAAACTGATAACATAAGGCAACAAATTATCTAATAACCAAGGTACTAGCTAGTACAGATTTTAAATCTTAAGTATTAATTCCATAATAATTGAACTCTTGCTAGTGGATGGAGAGATTTGGTTCCAGAATTCCTACAGTAGTAAAGCTTTCATCTGTCTAAATTAGAAGACCTAAATTTTCCAGTGGGGGTTCTCACCTACAGAGGTGCTAATTTCAAGGCCATAGAATCCAGATGGCTCAGTTTTGACCCTAAAATGAACTTAAAGCCTTAGAACAAAGTCAGGCAGATACCCCATTTGATGATTTCTCACTGTGCTCGAGTCCCTTTACACATGTTAGCATTGCCTTGATAATTCATATTGCTGTACACTAATATTTGGGCTTGAAAAGTTAAATTTGCTCTTTATTGTATTTACTTAAAAAATAGATCACAATGCCCTATCATAAAATGTAACACTCTTGTTCTTTGGCCTTTTCATATGCATAAATTAAATCCTTTGAAGCAGACATTCATAAAACATTGTTTATTGGAACATAAACTAGTACCCATTACTTAATTGGTTGACTTCAGATGCTTTAAACACAGGTCTATCTTTAAAACATTGAAATTTCAAAAACCCCCAAGTGTTGGTTTATAGTAAAACTTAGTCCCAAGTGACATTTGTCTATCTGATATTTGGAATGTTACTTTAATGTGCTTCAGAATCGTGCTTTGGAATATAAATTCCCCTCTGCAAGAAGATTCCCCCAATAATCAGGACAATACATTGTGTTGTCCCCATTATTATGATGGACTTCAAAAAAAGAGTTTTACTTCATTTATCAATAGTATAAATTTTCCCCTGAAACATCTGTTACTGCTTTGTATGTTAATGCTTTTAAATAGATACTTTGTCATTTTGGCCGAACAAAATTGAGTAGTTACAATAATTTAAAAATTGTGAATCTCATTATTTTAGGACTAGCACTATTTTAATGAAAAATATTCTCAAGTGTTGTCTTAAGGTTTATTTCAATTCTTAAAAATATTCCTGGTATTCTGTTATCGTGTATATACTATTTAATACCATCTGAATTGATAAAAAAAAAAAGCATATTGTGTTTAAGAGTGTGTTTAAATGCAAAAGGCATACAAGTCTAACTTTAGGGAGAATTATACCATGTAAAGTTTTCAAGTTTTTATGAAAATGTTACTGTAAGAAAGCTATCCTCTCATTTTTATCTATAGTGTGTGGTATATTTATTATAAAGACGGGATTGAGCGAATGTGGATTGCTGTCAACTTTAAACAGTTCACTTATTAAGTATCACTACTGGCAGAGTTATTTTGATGTTGTCAACATTAAATATTTTGAAATTGTCTACAGATCTGAGCCCCAAAACAATGTAAATTTGCTTTTATAGATTTACTAAAGTAAGATTTAAAAAGTATACTGTTCACCTAGAGTTCTAAAAAACCACCTGGTTTTTATTTTACTAAGCTATAAACTATAAAAGCTCTTTACCTGCAGGCTTTACAAATACATTTCAAAATTGTCTATAGTGATTTATAAAGTTATAGCTAACTCAATTTAAAGACAATTATCTTTCTATATAAAGCCATTTTCAAATAGCAAAATAGTGATCGTCATTTTTGTTATTACACAATTCAGTAAGCTGCATGAAAAATATGTATTATAAAAATAAACTGAGTTTACTAAATACTACTGCTGCTTGTCATTCTTTGTAAAACATAGCAGAAAGGAAGATCGGAGAATCTGTCCCATCTTATGCCACTCTATATGAACAAAGTAACAATTTGAAAATTGTGATTAACTGACAGAACTGTACAACTCTCATTTGGCAGACCCACCAACCTAGGATTATTTTGCTCTGCGTTAAATGTCAAGGGGCAAAGCCTGCACTTAGGATTCCTGCCAGGTGTTGAACTCAGTAGCTTCAGATCTACCTGATGAAATAATCATCCTGCCAATGTGTGTGAAGTGAAAAAAACAGCTTAGCTAATAGGTGAGGGCAGTGTCTACATGCTCCATCACAAGTTTTCTGTTGATGCTTTTTAGTTACAATGTCCTCTGAAAGTCTGTGGCGTGGTTCCTACATTGGGTATTGAGATGACTCTAACTGAAACCACCTTTTCACAAGGGACTGGTAACAGTAGTAGTGAAAAAAAAAAAAAAAAAACTTACATCAGGCTCTCCCTAGTGGTGCAGGAATTAAGACACAGCACTGTGAAGCTCTCTGCAGCCACTGCAGCACAAGCTCATTCCTCTCCAGGGAGCTGACCCATAAGGTGCAGCAGACCTCTCCAGTCTCACCTGCTGCTCCCCTCAGCAGTGTAATAGTAGACCTGTCTGCTCTGCTCCCCACTGTCTCTCACCCCCAGCATCTCTGGCCTGCACCTTGGTTCTTATATGCATAAATAAAATCTTAAAAAAAAACTTACATCTTTAATCCTTAAAGGGCAGCAATCAATAGCCACCAAGTTCTGGTCCTTCTCTATAAACCTGTAATCAAAACCACTAGAGAACAGAGATGTAATTTTAAGTGCCAACTGTTTGAAGCAAAATCAGGCTTTTTTTTAAAAAAAAACATGCAATAAGTACACCTTAAACCTTCAATGTAAGACTAATAGTAACTACATCTTACATATGATAGTGGAGCTCAACTTAAAATGGAATTTAGCTATTAAAAACATATTAACTCAAATTGTACTATGTGTTCTTCACTGAATAGGCTACAACTCAATGATAGTAATGAATTTGAAGTGATATATTCCACAATTCCCTTGTCTCCTTATTTTGTGGGCCTTCTACGGTGGCACAACGGGTTAGGATGCAGCACTGAAAGCTGGCCACAGCCGCTTCAATGCAAGTTCTATCTCCCACCTGAGGTGATCCACATGGTGCGGCAGACCTCTCCTGACCCGCCCACCCGCTGCTCCCCTCAGCAGTGTACTTGTACCTCGATCTGCCTGTTCTGCTCTCCATTCTGTCTCTGGTGAAGCCTGTCACCGTCCCTGCACCTGACTTGTTCCCCAGTTCTGTATGAATAAATAAATCTTTAAAAAATAATATAAAAAAATATTTCATAATATGTAGAATATTTTCTAATACATAGGTTAATGATGTAATCTTGACACCAGACATACATTTATCCAACAGGTTTCCTTTTTAGTATGCCCATCCCGCTTCTCAGACATAATGAAGGATTCAATTTTATTTTACCTAATACCATCTGAAGTTTTTAAAGTTTTAAAAATAAATTACGGCCCTCCCTGGTGGCGCAGCGGGTTAAAGCGCAGCACTGAGAAACTAAAGCCACTTCCTCATGAGTTCGATTCCCGCCTGCCCCGGAGGTGACCACATGGTGTGGTAGACCTCTCCTGGCCTGCCCACGGCTCCCCTCAGCAGTGTACTTCATCGATCTGCCTGTTCTGCTCCCCACTCTGTCTCTGGTGAAGCCTCTCGCCGTCCCTGAGCCTCTGGCCTGTAGCCCAGTTCTGAATGCACAAATAAATAAATCTTTAAGAATAAATAAATTACACGGGGGCCCTCTGCTGGCACAACAGCTTAGGACACAGCACTGCAAGCTGGCCCCAGCCACCTCCGTGCAAGTTCGATCCCCAGCCCTGGAGGTGATCCACATGGCACAGCAGACCTCTCCTGTCCCACCTGCTGCTCACCTCAGCAGCATACTTTTTGTCAATCTGCCTGTTCAAAAGGTCCTTCAAAGATTTGTCTTGCTTTACCTTCATCATTAAAAGTACTAGCAATGTAATACCTGTACAAACTGTAATATTATTGCAAAAATGTTTTTTATTTCAATCCTAAACTATACGATCTTTAATAGAGATCTAATGCTATTCATTTTTATTTTTCCACAGGCTGATGTACATAGGTGTTTTATGTCTGTTGAATGGATGAAGGAACTGAATAGAATTTTACATCCAAACCTTTTAGTAAGAAATAATGAAAAACTCTGAAGTCACTGATTATAAAGAATATGCAATCCATTTGGGATTTATTGCAATTAAAGAAAGCAGATTATTAAAACAGTAGGTATGATAAATACAGTAAGAAAATAACTTTAAATTTCAAACAAAACATAGGGGACAGAATTCAGTCATTAAGAATCAGCAACGTAAAGTCAACAAAGTAGTAAAACCTGTTAGTGCTTAATTAGATAATAGGGAAAAGAATAAGCCACTGATTCTATCTCCTAACAGTTTCCCAGCTATATTAGAGGATTGAAGTTACTTCAGAAAGTAGTTTTGTAACAATTAGAAATATAATAAAGATGTATATCAGACTTATTTAAAAGTTAGTTCTTTGCTTAGTGGTACATAAAAGCCTTTAGAAAATTCAAGTTTAACAAAAAAATGGAAGTGTAATCAAAGAAAGTGCACTTAAAGCTGTTTGCCAGCAATTAAAAAGTAGCTTACTATTACTATACTGCTTACTACTAGATGACTTTTCAATCACAAATAATCATAGTAATAAAATCTTTTTTCAAAAAGTAGAACTATAAATTTTAAAATAAAAATAACCCAAAATGATGATCCTTTGCATTTTCATCTACTTTATTATTCTTTTAGTGGCTTTGAAAACCCTCACTAGGAATGAATGTTCTTTTAGAAATGATTGTGATTGCAATTCCATTTAAAATAAGATTCACATTGACTGCATGTGTGTGTGTGTGTGTATTTATCATAATATATAAACACCAACAAGTATAAAAATTTCCAAATAAACTATCATCTTTTTCTCACAGTAGATAATGTCTCATTCTCACAGTAGATCTGTTAGCTCAATATTAGACCTAAAATGAGTAATTTTGCTAAGAAGTTCCCTGTACATTCTACATATAGTAAAACAAATGTACCCAAACTCCTCAGAACTAGTGATACTTACTAACACGTGTGTACCTTCTAACTGCTTCTGTGAAGTACCAAAACCTTAAACCAAGCAGAGTAGCTACGAAATTAAAAAACAAAAAAACTGCTCTGCCTGGTATTACCAGAGCAGAAGAGTGGGTTTCAACCTTAGTATTTTCTACCAGCAAGATGAAGACAACAGTCTATCACTCAAACTATAAACAGGTTAAGACCAAAAGGTATTATCTACAATTCCATCACTCTCACACACTTACATACACAGTGCAGACCAGTGGAAAATTACACTATTTCCTGATAAGTACTTTCTACTTAAAATTTCATCCAGCTTCTCCACCCTTATATGTGTGTATGCATGTATGTATGTATGTGTAGACACACCAAGCAACTTTTGTGCCTTAGCAGATAGATACATTCTTCACTGCCATAAGCTGGTCTTTTTAATATTAACAATTTGCTGAAGGGAGATTAACATAAATAAGTGGTCCACCTTTAAAAGGATTATTCAGAATCAATAAGCATTTTTTAAAGCTGGTAGGACAAAATTAACTTTGGCCTCAGAGTTTTGATAGCTCCATATTTTGCTCCTCTTAGGTGATGTTCAAGTATAACAGGTTTAGAGTTATGACTACTTTACATGCTAAAGCAACATGGGATACCTGATTAATAGAATAATTGCTTTTCAACTTTCCTTCAAAAACTGGACCATCCCATAATCAAGCCAAATTTCTACTGAGTGCCAAGTATAAAGCTCTTTCACATGCCTGGGGAGATTTGTTTCATAATTCTCATAAAGAAATTACCTGGGCATCAGCTGTGAGCAATGAACTACATCCTAACTATGTGGGAGAAGATGACTCAAGATGAAAAGCAACCCTATTTCTATCATCCTTGGGAAAAGTCTCTACTTCAACACAAATAATCTACCCCACCCCTACCCTCCACCCCCATTTCTATCTAAGGAATCCTAAATGTTTCAAAAGGAAAGTCATTGTGGTGTGACATAATATAGCAACATCTAAGTTGCTCCTTAGAATTTAACATTATAAGTCAAATTGTATCATTGTCTAGATCATTTTTAAATATTCACTATACTGGAAAGGAAGCACAAAGCCTTGTATCAGACAAGCTCTAGGTAGTTCATATTTACCCAAGGAGTTCATATTTACCACTAATTCATCTACTACCCCTTCTAAATTATGAGACACATGAGGTCTAGCGGATCTAGTCAAAGATGCCTATTGTGTACATCAACCAACAGATTTTCACTTAAAATTCTTGTTTGATACAAACCTACTGTATAGTTCATGAATTTACTATGTGCAATCATCAACTCTTCACTTTTAAAAGAAAGTATCTCTTGAATCTACTTAGTAAAGTTTTAAAGATCATCTACTTGTACATTTTGTATTAATCAACCTGAGAATCAGGAAAAATAAAGGTGCAAACATAGTATTTGCCTTTGGCACAAGGACAAGTAATTGGTACACTAAAAATACAACTCTTAAGCAATAATGTAATGCTTGGTTGGCCTCAGTGCCTGTCCACCAATTTGTGATTTCAAATATAAAAAAGAGGCGCAATAAAAAGTGAATAAATTGTTTATAGTTACATATACTTTGCTTAGAACTGTGAAAACAAATAGTTCATCCCAGTCAGTGGCACTATGATAGCTTCTAATATTACTTATAAAATACATTTTAATTGAATTCAAAGCATTCAGTTCATTTAAAATACAGAAAGCCAGGAGAGTGCCAGGTAGAGTTTCCACCTCCTTTTAGTAAATAGCTTGAACAGTTCTAAAAACTTCTGTATGTTGATTTAACAGAACAGTTAATTATAACTGAAAATAGCTGGAGACACAGAAAGCACAGTTACTGTATTCACATTAATTCACCTATGTAACTTCTATCTTATTAAACAATGTCTATAAAATCTCAAGTTTCTAATTAGAATCTGTGGTGTAAAAAAGAAAGGCAATTTGGTAGATGGATTCTGTTCACGAAGGACACAATTAACTAGTGAGGTTTAGATGCTAGTCCCTCGTTACGTACCTTACAGCCATTTTCAGATCTTGTGTTATCAGTGCAGAGGTACTTGGAGCAGGACGTGTTGAGTCCTCCCTATAAGGCTTTGTGGGTTTCACTGTTCTGTGCACTTAAAACTACTCCACCCTCCAAACCTAACTAAAAAAGTGTTGATTACAACTTGGGGGACATTTGGGGAAGGTGGTATTTTAATAGTGTGTATTATTAAATGTAACATGATTTGACATTAGCCTCTTTAACTGAGGATTTCAGGAACATTTCTTCCTGAAATAAAATTTTGATAGGACCTTTGTCCTCGCAAGATTTTAAATAACCTGCTTTTATTGGGGGCATGATAAAAGTTTTAGGCAAGAAGTTATTCAAAAACAAAACATAGTGTTTTCTGAAGTACTGAGTTTTTTACCTCTCTTATATATATTTTTTTCTTTTACATTTTCCAAATGTCAAATAATAACCTTTAGTTCTTGTTCTAGCCTTCCATACAGATAGTGCATATTAATGGCACTTGTTTTTTTGAATGCAATGAGTGTTAGGCACAATAGTCATTAACTTCTGGCTCTGCTTTGGAGAGAAAGGTTTAAGGACTGAATTATCTGCATTGTCCAGATAATGACTTTCCAACTCATTTGGGGAAAGTAGACCTGTTGACTGTGTGGAAATTAGAAGAGGCATTTTTAAAAATCTACAAGTGTAAACCTGTGTATGGAAAAATAAGCTTGAGTTTAAAACGCTGGGTTCTGGCATAAACCTAGGATATAACACACAAATGTGACATTCTATTAGAGAACTAACCACACAGTTTCCCAGTTCCCTCTCAGTGGCCACACAACTAGGAAAAGATACCATGTGCTTTCCCCGGATTTCTGTGCTGTCAGATCAGCGGCTGAAACCTGGTTGGAGTATACAATTCAGCTCTTTCTTCTGCTTGGCAGAGGCATCCAGGCCTACCTTGTCGTTTCCTTCCTTTTTCTATTTGGTTTATTTTAAAATCTCCTATTCTGATTGACCTGTCAGAATGAATGCTATAAAGAGCTATACAAATAAATTTTCTTTCATGGTCATAAAACTATTCATACTTTGTTTGAAACAGGAGTTAATGCCAAATCCATCAGAATGATCTACTGTTTAGAAGGGAATGGAGCAGCACCAAATGGGTCTAATTCGACTGACTGGGATTGTTGGGACTGATGAGAAGTGATGCTGTGCACCACGAGTTCTGTAAAGGGCACAGCCCCAAAGTCATCCATTTTCAGCGCATCTACACTATGAAATGACCCATGCAGTGAATTAGGCCTTGGCCGCCCAGGCAGGGCAGTATTGTGGTCAGCACGGATGTCACTCAGGCCCTGATGGGGAGGGTGCCATGGCACGTCTGGAGGATGGAAGGGCTTGGCACCAAAGGGGTCCAATAGACTCTCCTCTGGGGGCAAGACAGTGCCCCTGTCTTTCCCATCCGTCAGTGCAACACTGATGTTCTCCTTGGAATCTGAGATGGTTAAAAACTCATTGCTACTTTGAGAGTCTCGGCGGCCCACTTTTTTGTGCCTACGAGCCCTCTCTGGAGTGCGATAGATAGGCTTCACAGTCTTCTTTGTGCTAGTTGGTGTGCCATGATGCCGCTTCCCATTGCTTTTTGACATGTCCTGCTTTGTGCGCCTTTGGCGAGAAGACAGTTTCTGTAAGCTGCGCTGCTTGACTTTTTGTTGCTGACTCCCAGTTATCTCCTCAAATGGCACAAGCCCAAAAATATCCTCATTGCTTTCACTTTTACTTGTTGGTGTGGGGAAGGGTTGAAATGGTGTGAAGCCAAATATATCTACACTTTTCGGGCAAACAGGGAGAATGTGGGCTTCAGGCTGCACTGCCTGGCAATCTGCTACGTTTACCTTCTTGCTAAAGGGGGCCTTCATGAAAACATCAAATTCCTCTTGCTCCAGCCCCTCCGTAGAGAAATGCATCTGTGTAGAGAGGTTCTTTTCATTCTCCCTTTGCTGGGGCTGCTGCGCTTGCACTGCTGAGAAAGGCACAGCACCAAACACATCAAACTCTTGCTTGGGGGTCTCCACTCCAACATCAGAGGGCAATTGGATTGGGGTGAGCACTGTTAAATTATGATCTGGGACTGGCCCACTGCCAGATTTATCTCTGTAAACAGGGCTCTTGTCACTGTAGTTTGCTTTGACCTGCTCATAATCAGAATCAGAGCTATGTTTCTCTTCTTCCTCCTCATCTTCAGAATCCATGAGGAGAGGCCTATGACCCAGATTTTCAGGCTCAGTGTCATCATCATTAAAATCTCCTTGTTCTCCCTGAAGAACTTCTTCATCTTCTTGCTCTTCATCTTCACTACTCTTAGGAGAAGGTGGATCTGATTCAAAATCACTTTCAGATTCATCATTCCCCTTTTGCACTTGACCCTGTACCGACAAATTCTCTGATGGTTTCCTGCAGCCAGGTCGGTGATCTTTAGATACTGGACTTGCTTTTCTGTTCTTGATAGGGGTTGCAGTGCTCTTTTCTTGATTCATGGATGAGTGTTCCATTTTCTTTTCTGGAGAACCTGAAAATTCAAAGAAAAATTATTACACAGCTTCAATGCATTTCAAAAACCATTTGCACTGAACATTAGTATGTACTAACATGAAGCATTACAAACCCCTCCTATCAGTTCCCACAATTCTTGTCATTTTATTTAGGGAATATACTTGTCCTCAACTAGATGGCTAGGTCCTTTAGTGAAGACAGACTTTATTCTTTTCTCTACCCTATAAACCTCCTATTCATCATATCTGTCCATCACGGACAACTGATGTATTTTATCCGTTGCATCCAGAAAAGAACTCTTAATAGTTAAGACAAGGCTCTCCTACCATCAGAATGAAGCTATTCAGCTAATTTCCCCTGCTGAGATTCCACAATCTAAATAGCCTTCTGCTTATATTTCAACTCTATTATAAAGCTAACACTTGTATGTTAATTGCTACATATACCATGTGCTATTTCATTGCAATAATCTCTTTTAAGCTGGCAATTTGGAATTTCTTGTTAACTAGTATCTTATGAATTGGGTTAGATAAACATCCCCAAAGCATGATCAAAACTAAGGATTAGGCATTTAATTGAGGCTGCACATGTATATATGCCCTCTCTAGGTAATGTGCCCTTCTTTAAGTACAAATCTATACCAACAGACACTAATGAAAACATACTGCTTTTTCAAATAATCTTACTGTCAGTGTGTTCACTGTATTATAAGCAATTACATCAAATAAAGCACTATATAATGTACTAAAGACAGTATATTAATTCACATGAAAATATATTGGTATATTAATTTTAGAGGTAGGGACCAATTTGTATTGATCCATCATACATCTATTTATCATGCCTTCCTGTCCTACGACAAAGAACAAAAATTTTCAAGGTAATCAGCTAGGCCTGGAAATACCATCTGTAGCCATGAAAACTAATTACAATGAAAGGACCTTTACTTTCCCCTTTACTAACATGGTAGTCTTTATGGAGCCTGAGTTATTTCCTTCTCTGAAAAGTCAGCACTGTTATCTTTCTACCACTCTATTTCTTCTTGATCATTTTTGTAGCGCCTGCTCCATCCCCATCATCATCCCCTTAGTTGCGTATGTCCTGCTAAGGACTATCCTTGCCTTTCTCTTTCAATGTCTTTTCTTGGATCTTGACTACTTTTGTGGTAATATACACACACATAATAACCAGTCCTCAAATACTTAACCATGAATACTCTAATACTTGTTTACCTTACTCGTCTCATACTTATCAGGATCATGTATCCTACCATTACTTCAAGCTCAATAATTTGAAGAGCTCATCTTCCTTCTTAAAATGTGTTCCTCACCAGTTCAGCAACTGATACCTCCAAGTACCTAATTTTGCAAAATGGCAGAAATCTGGACTCCACTTTGCTCTTCCCACCCAATACCTAAATCTGTTTCCTCCTCTTCCTCTGCCACTTGTCTGTTCTTATCCTCTTTATCTCTCACCTAACATTTTAGCCTCCAAGCTTGTTTGCCTGCCGCCGGTCCCCTATCCTTCAAACTGCTCTTTTATATTGTCACCAGGATGACTTTTCTGTAACACTGATCATGTAGCCACTGCTTGCCATCTATCAAGAGATGTCTCGAGGTCCAACTTTTTCCAGCTAAAGGTGACATTCTCTTCCTGGTACCTGTCCTATGTCTTCAGTCTCAGCCCCTCTTCTCTCCCAGAGCTATTATTCATCATAGCCACACCTGAATTGTGCCTACTCAAACTGAGGAACTGAATAGATTTCTATTTAAAAAACATTTGAGTTTTCTCAAAAGGAGATGCTATCTCATCTCCTTAAGTTTACTATTATAAACTCAGAATTGGACATATTTGATGTCAAGGGACACTTTGCTATTTTAACATCTCTCTACACTGCAATGCCATGCATATAGCTCAGTCTGGAGGTCCTTCTAGTGTTCTCACTCCCACCTTTACACATTTATAGTTAGAGATAATTTTGAGTTCAGAATTTAATCACATTTTTTCATTTGAATGAACAAGATACAGGGCACTTTACTCTGTGCTCTATACTGATTATACATTAGTCAATAAAACAAACATGCCCTCTGCATTCTGGACTTTACAATCAAGTGTGTGAGAAATGAGTAAGTAAAACAACTGACTGGCACTGTAAAATAGCAGTAGAGAGAGGTACGCAGACCCACTCAAAACAGTCACCCAAGGACTCCTCAAAGAGATGACAGTTAGAATCCATCCACACAGAGGACACACAGTAAGCTGTTCCCAGTAAAGCTATAGCATATGTGAAGGCTAATTCAAGAAAGAGACTGACATGATTGAGATACTGACCATGGACCAGTATAGCTGGAGCAGGGTGAGAAAGGTGATGCTACACAGATAATATGGAGTTTGGATTTTACTCTAAAGTCATTGTGCAGTCAGAGACCAGTATTAGACTTTACTTAAAATGAGTATCATGGTCAGATCTAAATTTCAAGAAGAAAACTTCTATGTCTAGTAGCCTTATTTTAAATCCTAACAGATGAAAACCAAATCAAATGCAATTTCTTAAGTTTGACTTCTCAATATAGCATACTTCTGATATTAAAAACAAAGGTAGTGGGCTATAGGATTTAGGACACTTCTCTTATGCTTACAGACAAATCATTCTAACATTTCCCAAAAGAGCATCTACACTGTTATTGTGTCTCTACCCCTACTCATCTGGAAAATGCCAGTAATGTTAAGGTGCTTACACCCTAAATAAGTGCTGAATTTTATGAAACCAAGGATTTCTCAATTTGCTTCACTACAAACACCTTTTATTTTCAAGTAAAATGTAACTTGCTAACGAAGCTAACAATTAAGAGGTAACCCTCTCCCTCAACTCAGGGTGAAGACCCAGCTGGACAGGTACTGTGAAGAAGCTGTGTCAACAATAAAAAGCTGCCTCAGGGCAAATCTGTAACTTCAAAGAAAGACTTCAAGGTCTGTAGCACTGCTAAAACTCCTAGTTCCCAGAAGATAAGGCTATAAATAGAGATGGTAAACTTTAATGGCTTTCTTTGTTTCCCTCAATGCATAAACAACATAATATAATAACTGGACATCTTGCACTGACCTTTTTCTGTAAAAACCCCTGAAAATGTTTTCCTTGCAGACTGTGTAAAATCCTCATTGAGAGCTCAGCTGTGTGAGAAGCAGAGCTACCTGAAGGCTCTTCCTTAGATTGAGTCCTTTAGTCTTGATTCCTTAATGAACTCATTTACTTTTGCTTGCCTTCTATTTACTTAAGTCAAAACCTTCATAAACAATTTTGCAAAAAGCAATTGGGAAAATACTGCTCTACAAACTTTATGGGACTATTTCCAGGGCAGATAGGCTCTGAATGTCTACAGTAACACTTAACACAGGATTTCTTCTCTAAAGCATCCTTCAGCTGACCTTCTTGTTATTCTTAGATTCTGATGCCAGCCATGAACTGTTTCCTTTACAACACTACTTACCAAATTACACCTGTCACTTTCTGCTTTCTCTGCATGCCCTTTGTCAATTTCTCAAAGTGATATCAGGGACAAACATTTCTTTATTGTAAAGTGCATTACAGATTTTAATTTGTGGATATTCATTTATAGGATTTTTTTCACTTACCATTTTTAATGATCAACACAGTCCATTATTGTGATAAAACATGAATACATAATTTTTAAGTATTTAACTAAAGAACTTGTAAAGTTGTTTCTAGTTTTCCAGCATTCATTTAAATAATCATGCACTTTCTCCTTGAAAGGAACAAACATCAACTTTTTTTCAATTATCAATTTCATTTTATCCATTTAGGATTATTCTCTTCTTTCACACAATGAACACACAGCTAATAAAGTTAACCCAGCAATAATCTGAAAAGATCACAACTATTCTTCATTGCTCTTGCACACATAAAGTGTAATAACAGCTTCAACTTCCTTAGATTTGTTTAAAAAAAAAAGTGAACTTAAAATAGTGTCTTCACCCACAGGTGACCTGGTGATGGGAAACCCGCGAGGATTACAATTGAGATGGGAAAAAAAAAAGTACAAAATGATGTAAAAATTAACTTATAAAAATTTTTTAAAAAGTATAAAAAACTTAAAAATAATGGTTATGGTTAAAAATACACAGGATAAATTTTTATTAATAAGGCAACTATGGCAATTATTTTCTAGTTAAAATATACTGGTTAAACATTTCTGTATAAATCAATAATAATAGTAATTAAAAATAACATGTATACTACAGAAGACCCATAAGGAATTATAACTGCACAACTGTTGGTCTATAGCATATAAGTGAACATAGTTGATTCAAATAAAATGTAATTTTCGTTAAACCAAAAAAAAAAAAATAGTGCCTTCACACACAGTAAGCAACAAAGAAAAGTTACCATCTTCAACTCCATGGCAGGGGTAAATTCAATTAACTTATCCAGCTACATTTTTTGACTCAGTGACTGAAAGTGTATCTAAGTGAGAAGGAAGAATGGGAAAGAGAGAGAGACGTGGATTTAACTGTCTACCTAATGTAAGAATAGTTCAGATGCACTTTAAAACTGACCAGAAATTAACAGATAAATATACCCACATAGGTGCATTTTGAAGTGGTTTCAGATTACATCACTATGGGCAAGTGAGGAAATTTTCTGTTGGTGTAGACAGACTTCACTCTCACCTTACTAAAAATAAAACAATAGAATATTTCTTCAAATTCCTTTATCTCTCATGTTCTCATAACCCACCCTGATATTGTTAAAATGTTCTTTCTCCATCCCTTCCATTCCTTCACAAACTGTTGCTGAGTCTAGGGCAGGAATGAGTCCAGCAACATAACAACAACTTAAAAGTTAAGCACTACTCAGCACAATTTAAGTACAAGGGGACATCTCTTCCAGCACCTCCTAATAAATTAATTCTAACAATTTGACAAATTACAACAATCCTAGCTCGGGTTTCCCTTTTATAGGAATAGGAAGCAACGTGAGTATCCTTTCTTCATTAT